CCACCCTAACCACCTCCATCACTACCATAACTACCACCCTAACCACCTCCATCACTACCATAACTACCACCCTAACCACCTCCATCACTACCATAACTACCACCCTAACCACCTCCATCACTACCATAACTACCACCCTAACCACCTCCATCAGTACCATACTACCACCCAACCACCTCCATCACTACCATAAACTACCACCCTAACCACCTCCATCAGTACCATAACTACCACCCTAACCACCTCCATCAGTACCATAACTACCACCCTAACCACCTCCATCACTACCATAATTACCACCCTAACCACCTCCATCACTACCATAACTACCACCCTAACCACCTCCATCACTACCATAACTACCACCCTAACCACCTCCATCACTACCATAACTACCACCCTAACCACCTCCATCACTACCATAACTACCACCCTAACCACCTCCATCACTACTATAACTACCACCCTAACCACCTCCATCACTACCATAACTACCACCCTAACCACCTCCATCACTACCATAACTACCACCCTAACCACTCCATCACTACTATAACTACCACCCTAACCACCTCCATCGCTACCATAACTACCACCCTAACCACCTCCCTCACTACCATAACTACCACCCTAACCACCTCCATCACTACCTAACACTACACCCTAACCACCTCCATCACTACCATAACTACCACCCTAACCACCTCCATCACTACCATAACTACCACCCTAACCACCTCCATCACTACCATAACTACCACCCTAACCACCTCCATCACTACCATAAACTACCACCCTAACCACCTCCATCACTACCATAACTACCACCCTAACCACCTCCATCACTACCAATAACTACTACCCAAACCACCTCCATCACTACCATAACTACAACCCTAACCACCTCCCTCACTACCATAACAACCACTCTAACCACCTCCCTCACTACCATAACTACCACCCAAACCATCTCCATCACTACCATAACTACAAACCTAACCACCTCCCTCACTACCATAACTACCACCCTAACCACCTCCCTCACTACCATAACTACCACCCTAACCACCTCCATCACTACCATAACTACCACCCTAACCACCTCCATCATTACCATAACTACCACCCTAACCACCTCCATCACTACCATAACTACCACCCTAACCACCTCCATCACTACCATAACTACCACCCTAACCAACTCCATCACTACCATAACTACCACCCTAACCACCTCCATCACTACCATAACTACTACCCTAACTACCACCCTAACCACCTCCATCACTACCGCCACCATCACTACCATAACTGCTACCCTAACCACCTCCTCACTACCATGACTACCACCCTAACCATCTCCATCACTACCATAACTACCACCCTAACCACCTCCATCACTACCATAACTACCACCCTAATCACCTCCATCACTACCGCCACCATCCATCACTACCATAACTACTACCCTAACCACCTCCATCACTACCGCCACCATCACTACCATAGCTGCTACCTTAACCACCTCCATTACTACCGCCACCATCACTACCATAACTACCACCCTAACAACCTCCATCACTACCATAACTACCACCCTAACCACCTCCATCACTACCACCACCATCACTACCATAACTACCACCCTAACCACCTCCATCACTACCGCCACCATCACTACCATAACTACCACCCTAACCACCTCGATCACTACCGCCACCATCACTACCATAACTACCACCCTAACCACCTCCATCACTACCGACACCATCACTACCATAACTACCACCCTAACCACCTCCATCACTACCGCCACCATCACTACCACAACTACCACCCTAACCACCTCCATCACTACTGCCACCATCACTACCATAACTACTACCCTAACCACCTCCATCACTATCGCCACCATCACTACCATAACTGCAACCCTAACCACCTCCATCACTACCACCACCATCACTACCATAACTACCACCCTAACCACCTCCATCACTACCGACACCATCACTACCATAACTACCACCCTAACCACCTCCATCACTACCGCCACCATCACTACCACAACTACCACCCTAACCACCTCCATCACTACTGCCACCATCACTACCATAACTACTACCCTAACCACCTCCATCACTATCGCCACCATCACTACCATAACTGCAACCCTAACCACCTCCATCACTACCACCACCATCACTACCATAACTACCACCCTAACCACCTCCATCACTACCGCCAACATCTCTACCATAACTACCACCCTGACCACCTCCATCACTACCGCCACACATCACTACCATAACTACCACCCTAACCACCTCCATCACTACCGCCACCATCACTACCATAACTACCACCCTAACCACCTCCATCACTACCGCCACCATCACTACCATAACTACCACCCTAACCACCTCCGTCACTACCGCCACCATCACTACCATAACTACCACCCTAACCACCTCCGTCACTACAGCCACCATCACTACCATAACTACCACCCTAACCACCTCCGTCACTACTGCCACCATCACTACCATAACTAACACCCTAACCACCTCCGTCACTACCGCCACCATCACTACCATAACTACCCCCCTAACCACCTCCATCACTACCGCCCCATCACTACCATAACTACCACCCTAACCACCTCCATCACTACCGCCACCATCACTACCATAACTACCCCCCTAACCACCTCCATCACTATCGCCACCATCACTACCATAACTACCACCCTAACCACCTCCATCACTACCGCCACCATCACTACCATAACTACGACCCTAACCACCTCCATCACTACCGCCACCATCACTACCATAACTACCACCCTAACCACCTCCATCACTACCGCCACCATCCCTACCATAACTACCACCCTAACCACCTCCATCACTACCGCCACCATCACTACCATAACTGCTACCCTAACCACCTTCATCACTACCGCCACCATCACCACCATAACTACCACCCTAACCACCTCCATCACTACCGCCACCATCACTTCCATAACTACCACCCTAACCACCTCCATCACTACCGCCACCATCACTACCATAACTACCACCCTAACCACCTCCATCACTACCGCCACCATCACTACCATAACTACCACCCTAACCACCTCCATCACTACCGCCACCATCACTACCATAACTACCACCCTAACCACCTCCAACACTACCGCACCATCACTACCATAACTACCACCCTAACCACCTCCATCGCTACCGCCACCATCACTACCATAACTACCACCCTAACCACCTCCGTCACTACCGCCACCATCACTACCATAACAACCACCCTAACCACCTCCGTCACTACCGCCACCATCACTACCATAACTACCACCCTAACCACCTCCATCACTACCGCCACCATCACTACCATAACTACCACCCTAACCACCTCCGTCACTACCGCCACCATCACTACCATAACTACCACCCTAACCACCTCCGTCACTACCGCCACCATCACTACCATAACTAACCACCCTGACCACCTCCATCACTACCGCCACCATCACTACCATAACTACCACCCTAACCACCTCCGTCACTACCACCACCATCACTACCATAACTACCACCCTAACCACCTCCATCACTACCGCCACAATCACTACCATAACTACCACCCTAACCACCTCCTTCACTACCGCCACCATCACTACCATAACTACCACCCTAACCACCTCCATCACTACCGCCACCATCACTACCATAACTACCACCCTAACCACCTCCATCACTACCGCCACCATCACTACCATAACTACCACCCTAACCACCTCCATCACTACCACCACCATCACTACCATAACTACCACCCTAACCACCTCCATCACTACCGCCACACTCACTACCATAACTACCACCCTAACCACCTCTATCACTACCGCCACAATCACTACCATAACTACCACCCTAACCACTCCATCACTGCCGCCACCATCACTACCATAACTACCACCCTAACCACCTCCATCACTACCGCCACCATCACTACCATAACTACCCCCCTAATCACCTCCATCACTACCGCCACCATCACTACCATAACTACCACCCTAACCACCTCCATCACTACCACCACCATCACTACCATAACTACCACCCTAACCACCTCCATCACTACCGCCACCATCACTACCATTACCACCCTAACCACCTCCATCACTACCGCCACCATCACTACCATATCTACCACCCTAACCACCGCCATCACTACTGCCACCATCACTACCATAACTGCTACCCTAACCACCTCCATCACTACCGCCACCATCACTACCATAACTACCACCCTAACCACCTCCATCACTACCGCCATTATCACTACCATAACTACCCCCCTAATCACCTCCATCACTACCGCCACCATCACTACCATAACTACCACCCTAACCACCTCCATCACTACCACCACCATCACTAGCATAACTACCACCCTAACCACCTCCATCACTACCGCCACCATCACTACCATTACCACCCTAACCACCTCCATCACTACCGCCACCATCACTACCATATTTACCACCCTAACCACCGCCATCACTACTGCACCATCACTACCATAACTGCTACCCTAACCACCTCCATCACTACCGCCACCATCACTACCATAACTACCACCCTAACCACCTCCATCACTACCGCCACCATCTCTACCATAACTACCACCCTAACCACCTCCATCACTACCGCCACCATCACTACCATAACTACCACCCTAACCACCTCCATCACTACCGCCACCATCACTACCATAACTACCACCCTAACCACCTCCATCACTATAGCCACCATCACTACCATAACTACCACCCTAACCACCCCCATCACTACCGCCACCATCACTACCGCCACCATCACTACCATAACTACCACCCACCCTAACCACCTCCATCACTACCTCCACCATCACTACCTCCACCATCACTACCACCACCTCCTCTACCACTCCTCCTACAGGTGACCACTTCGGGATGCGGGACGGAGCTGTGTACTGCCGCCCTCACTACGAACTCATCCTACAGTCAGAGGCGGAGATGGAGGCGGTGGCGGTGTCTGCAGGCATGTCATACCCGCCCCTCTCCCCTGCCACGCCACGCCTCGCCTTTTACAACGGCGTGGGCGCGGCGCAGAAGGGCAGACCGAGAAAGCGAAAATTACCCACGGAAGACCTACCTCCTCTAACCCCACTCACCCCCGGCATGGGTAAGTACATCTCTCACACCTTAACTCACACTGAACTCAAGTGAATCTTTTACTCAACATGAGTAAGTGCATCTGCAAATATTATTTTCTGTGCTAGGAAGAAGCGTAAATGTGTGTGTGGGGGGGGGGCACACGAGCAGTGACATGGCAACAAGCGCCTCATATATAAGAATTTCTTAATATGTTATGTAGAGATTGTGTTCAATTAATTATATATTAATAGTTCCATAAGACGAAATTAGCTGGTGATTTTCCATCTAAACGTAATCTATTGCGTTATAAGAAATATACATCATCCAGTGTCTTGTACACCGCTTCTTGCAGTGTCACCATCTGGAAAAGACCCGGACCGGGACAAGACTGGCGAACCTACTGTAGTTCAGGTGTCTTCATGTTCTGTCTACTGTTGCTAGCTACAGAAGATTTCCTTTGTGTTTACAAGTGGTCATCATGTCCTATTTTTTTATTAACAAATATCTATCATATCCTTTTGAATATTGACAGGCAGTTAACGTATTACCTTTTAAAGTCACATTTTCGTTGAATCTTTAATTCTTCTGTGTCCTGTGTTATTGTTTAATTTTATATCATATTTTCTCTTATTTACATTGTATTTTGTTATCAGAGGCAATTAAATCCATCACAAATTTTATTCATGCCGTTGCTTCGCTTCTCTATCAGGTGTTACTTCCGTTTGATATTTTTTATTCCAACCTTATAATATTTTTATTGCTCAAATCTTTTGCTTCCTGCAAATATTTCTTATATTTTATTCAGCGTTCCACCACATCTATTACACTGGACTACATCATGTTCAGCTTGCTACTAAGAAAACTTTCAATATTTTAATGTAATATTTGCAGCTGGTTACAAATTTAAAGACGAAATTGAGGTAGTACATCAGGAATTGTACTTATTGGAAAACATATTTCCAATAATTGTTAATTTATAAATCATGTCCCATCAAGGTATAATAGTCATTAAAAACTTACTCACTGCTATAAATTCACAGCTAAAGAATGCTTCAGGGACAAAGTAACATCTTCCCACCCGAAGTTGAAAATACTTATATATGTTTTAAGCATTTGACTTTACGCTTATGACTCCGAGTGGCGTCTCTCAGTAGAAACCAACAGTTGTCTCCATCATGTTGGGATTGAAACTTCTCTGATAACGTACATATTTTGTACATATATCATGATGAAACCTTTCACCATGATCATCACTAGCAGCATCAAGACTGGAAGAAGTCCAGGTGTGAGTGAAGACAGTGCATTTTCAGGGACATACGCCACCCAGTGCTCTGTGGGCTTCTGTCAGCATAACTTCCAAGGAAGTTCTGGAAGTCGTATTTTTTCATCCAACAAATACCCAGGTCTAAAGTTTTGCGTCAGATAAAACTCCTCCAAAATGTTCCTTGAGGTAAAGAAATCCTGCACTTTCAGCCTTTGCAAAGTTTTTCTTTAGGCCCAACATTATATGCAATAGCAGAAGAAATATCTTTTGAAAATACACCAATGGCATATATTGTATTTTTAATTGTATTGGAAAAGGGTCTTTTCTGAACGGCCTTTCTTTGATATTGTAGTTGTTAGCTTCGTCACGACTATTAAACAACAAAGAAAACACGGATGTTTTTTGTAACCAAAACGGAGACCAAGTATTAACCCTATGACTTTTAGGACCCTACATACGTCGCACTTGTAGTGGTTGTATTTTGTTAGTTCGTGTGTAGTTTCCACGAACTCGTATCTTTCCCTTAATCCCACAACATGAGCCACTGACACAAATGGCTTTTCAGTGTCATTGTGATAGGGGCACTTCTTTCGCGCTGACCTTGCTGGACTCGATGAAGAGTCTCTATTCATCAGAATTGTGTTCGTAACCCAGTTCCTTCTCTGTCAGAGATGCATCATCTTGGCATGTGTCCATAATTTTTTGAATAATCTCGTCCATTTCTTTGTAATACCAGATTTGCGTCCAACTCTGTTCATTTTACTTATTTAGTCTGTGTATCCTGTTTTAGTATCTACATACTCTGCGTAGCCTGTGTGACTATCCACATTGCGTAGCCTGTGTATGTACATACTCTGCGTAGCCTGTGTGAGTATCTGTTGATGACCTATTTTTAGCTTTTGAAGCAGAAGCACGCTCGTGGTGTCGATGGTAGAATGCTCCGACTATCGTCGGGGCATTCTACCCCTTCTGACTACAATCAGGGCATGGTACCGCTCCTGACTACCATCCCTACAACCTACCCTTTTGGCTACCATCAGGGCATGCTACCCCTCCTGGTTACCATCCCTACATTCTTCCCTTTCTAGCTGCCATCAGGGTATGCTATCTCTCCTGGCGGGAATCAGGACATGCTACAACTTAAAAGGTACCAAAAGGGTATGCTACCCCTCTTGACTCCCATACTCAGCATGCTGCTCCATTTGACTACCATCCCAGCATCCTACCCCTTCTGACTATCACTCGCTCCATCACTGTTTTGCCAGAGGAGCGTCAGTACTATAGTTCATAACTAAAAATATCCCCACCCTTCCTTCAGAGTGCAAGCACTTTACTTCCCATCCCCAAGTCTCAAGTCCGACTAACTGGTTTCTCTGAATTCCTTATAAATGATACATTGCTCACACTTCAACAGCACGTTAAGTTATAAAAACCACTGGCCTTTCGCCTATCTAACAGGCTCGCACACGCTTGCTGAATGTCTAAGTCCCTCGCACACAAAACCTTCTTAACCCTCTTCATCCAACCTTCACTAGGACAACCTCTATCCGGCCTTCCCTCCACTACAAATATATACCCCCTCGAAGTCCAGCTTTGTTCCATCCTCTTTAAATATATACATATATTATATATAATATATATATAATATATATATATATATTATATATATATAATATATATATATATTATATATATATATATATATATATATATGGGGTATGGGTAGGTTTAAAAATGTAGTGTTAGAGTGTTCAGCAGAAGTTTGTGGTTACAGGAAAAGGGGGTGCGGGAGGGAAAGGAGCGATTGGGGGAACGATGATGTAAAGAGAGTAGTAAGGGAGAAAAAGTTAGCATATGAGAAGTTTTTACAAAGTAGAAGTGATGCAAGGAGGGAAGAGTATATGGAGAAAAAGAGAGAGGTTAAGAGAGTGGTGAAGCAATGTAAAAAACAGAGCAAATGAGAGAGTGGGTGAGATGTTATCAACAAATTTTGTTGAAAATAAGAAAAAGTTTTGGAGTGAGATTAACAAGTTAAGGAAGCCTAGAGAACAAATGGATTTGTCAGTTAAAAACAGGAGAGGAGCATTATTAAATGGAGAGTTAGAGGTATTGGGAAGATGGAGGGAATATTTTGAGGAATTGTTAAATGTTGATGAAGATAGGGAAGCTGTGATTTCGTGTATAGGGCAAGGAGGAATAACATCTTGTAGGAGTGAGGAAGAGCCAGTTGTGAGTGTGGGGGAAATTCATGAGGCAGTAGGTAAAATGAAAGGGGGTAAGGCAGCCGGGATTGATGGGATAAAGATAGAAATGTTAAAAGCAGGTGGGGATATAGTTTTGGAGTGGTTGGTGCAATTATATAATTAATGTATGGAAGAGGGTAAGGTACCTAGGGATTGGCAGAGAGCAAACATAGTTCCTTTGTATAAATTCAAAGGGGACAAAAGAGAGTGCAAAAATTATAGGGGGATAAGTCTGTTGAGTATACCTGGTAAAGTGTATGGTAGAGTTATTATTGAAAGAATTAAGAGTAAGACGGAGAATAGGATAGCAGATGAACAAGGAGGCTTTAGGAAAGGTAGGGGGTGTGTGGACCAGGTGTTTACAGTGAAACATATAAGTGAACAGTATTTAGATAAGGCTAAAGAGGTCTTTGTGGCATTTATAGATTTGGAAAAGGCGTATGACAGGGTGGATAGGGGGCAATGTGGCAGATGTTGCAGGTGTATGGTGTAGGAGGTAGGTTAATGAAAGCAGTGAAGAGTTTTTACGAGGATAGTGAGGCTCAAGTTAGAGTATGTATGAAAGAGGGAAATTATTTCCCAGTAAAAGTAGGCCTTAGACAAGGATGTGTGATGTCACCGTGGTTGTTTAATATATTTATAGATGGGGTTGTAAGAGAAGTAAATGCGAGGGTCTTGGCAAGAGGCGTGGAGTTAAAAGATAAAGAATCACACATAAAGTGGGAGTTGTCACAGTTGCTCTTTGCTGATGACACTGTGCTCTTGGGAGATTCTGAAGAGAAGTTGCAGAGATTGGTGGATGAATTTGGTATGGGTATGCAAAAGAAGAAAATTAAAAGTGAATACAGGAAAGAGTAAGGTTATGAGGATAACAAAAAGATTAGGTGATGAAAGATTGGATATCAATTGGAGGGAGAGAGTATGGAGGAGGTGAAAGTATTCAGATATTTGGGAGTGGACGTGTCAGCGGATGTGTCTATGAAAGATGAGGTGAATCAAAAGAATTGATGAGGGGAAAAGGGTGAGTGGTGCACTTAGGAGTCTGTGGAGACAAAGAACTTTGTCCTTGGAGGGGAATGTATGAGAGTATAGTTTTACCAACGCTCTTATATGGGCGTGAAGCATGGGTGATGAATGTTGCAGCGAGGAGAAGGCTGGAGGCAGTGGAGATGTCATGTCTGAGGGCAATGTGTGGTTTGAATATAATGCAGAGAATTCGTAGTTTGGAAGTTAGGAGGAAGTGCGGGATTACCAAAACTGTTGTCCAGAGGGCTGAGGAAGGGTTGTTCAGGTGGTTCGGACATGTAGAGAGAGTGGAGCGAAACAGAGTGACTTCAAGAGTGTATCAGTCTGTAGTGGAAGGAAGGCGGGGTAGGGGTCAGCCTAGGAAAGGTTGGAGGGAGGGGGTAAAGGAGGTTTTGTATGCGAGGGGCTTGGACTTCCAGCAGGCATGCGTGAGCGTGTTTGATAGGAGCGAATGGAGACGAATGGTTTTTAATACTTGACGTGCTGTTGGAGTGT